GACGAGGTGTCGTTTCAGGGTTTCAAAGGAGTTCTGGCACTCTGCCGTCCATCGGAATTTCGCTCCTTTTCGCTTCAACCCGTTGAGGGGTTCTGCCACCTGGGAGAAGTTCCACACAAACCGATGGTACCATCCAGCCATCCCAAGGAACCGTTGAAGGGCCTTGAGTGTGGTTGGCACAGGGAAGTCTTGTACAGCCTTGGTCTTTTCAGGATCCACATGAATACCATCACAAGACACAATATGGCCAAGGAACTTCAGGGAGGTTTGGCAGAAGTTGCTCTTCTTCATGTTCACTGTCAGACCAGCTTCTCTTAGCTTGTCCAACACTGCTTGAAGGTCTTGAAAGTGTTGCTCTCTGTTCTGGGAGTAGATAATTATATCGTCCAGGTAGACGAAACATATCTTCCCTTTGAGCTCACCTAACGCAATCTCCATGAGTCTTTGGAAAGTGGCAGGTGCATTCTTTAATCCAAAAGGCATCACCTTAAAGGAAAACAAGCCCTCAGCACAGACAAAAGCAGTCTTGTCCTTGCTTTCCTGGTCCATCTCAACCTGCCAATAGCCACTATTGAGGTCAAGGGTAGTGAACACAACAGCGCCAGACAATGACTCCAGGATCTCGTGGATGGTGGGAAGAGGATAGGCATCAGTCTGGGAAACATTGTTGGTCTTCCTATAGTCCACACAAAATCTAAGACCACCGGTCTTTTTTTTTATGAGGACAACAGGAGCAGCCCAGGGAGAGGAGGAACGTTCTATTATATCTTGTGTCAACATATCATTAATGAGTCCCTTTTGGATGATTAGCTTCGCTGGGGACAAACGATATGGCTTTTGCTTGATCGGCATTTCCTGTGTAAGGAATATTTTGTGCTTCAGGAGTCCGGTGCGTCCTAACTTTGAAGTACACACATCAGCATTATTCTGCAGCTGTTCCAACAGCCTTAACTCCTCTGGCTGTTCCAGCTGAGCTCTTCTTACAGCCTGTAAAAGGAGATCCTCAGAAGGATTATCCAGGGTTAGTGGTACCGTAGCAACGGCAGAGAAGACTGCCACATTTAGACCCCAATCATGTAACTTTGTAACTTCTGATTGGAAGAAATGCTTCTTGCTCGGATTGTTTGGAAACCAGTAGCAATTGTGTGCGATATCAATCTGGACACCACTGAAGTACATGAAATCAATTCCCAACACGACAGGAAAAGCAAGGTTCTTGTTTTGTAGGATAACCGAAGGAATCATATAGGAACGGTTACACAGGCGGAACTCCACCTCACTCCATCCAAGTGGTCGTTTAGCCGCACCGTCAGCCAGATACAGTGGACCTTCTGTCCACGGCTTCAAGTTGTATTTTGGACCTTCAACCTCCTTCCACAGTTTCTCATTGAGCAGTGTGTAGGATGACCCGGTGTCCAGGATGGCTCTTCCTGTCCATGGGCCTATGGACAGGGGTAACACCAGCTGGTGTGGTATTAACTGAAAGGAAGGGGATGTCGGCGGGGGGGCGTAGGCAGTGACTCTTGAGGTTTCAGCTCTGGTCAAAGCACCCAGAGTAGGATGGTCGTTCCTGCGAAGGGTGTTAGGGGTGTTGGCCTGTTGTGATTTGTGGTTTCTGGAAGGGTTTACTTGATACGGTCTTGGACATGTAGCTGAAGAATGTCCCTTTTGGCTACATCTCCAACAGAACATGGGAGGGGTCTTGGCTGGAGACTCTGGCTGTGGTTGATGATCTGGCTTGGGTAACTGTCTGGGTGTCTGTTTCTTTCTCTGTTCATATTGCTGTTGGCATTCTCTGTCCTTCTCGAACTGCTGTCCTAGGCGAACCAGTCCATCGACAGTGGTGACTCTTTCTCTGAGTTGACTGGCTAGTAGTGGGTTGATGTTCTTCAAGATCAACTTAATGACCTCTTCCTCCTCAATGCCAGGTTTCCACCTTCTGCACAGGGAGTGGTAACCGTATGCAAAGTCACGAATATTCTCATTCTCCCTTTGCACTCGATTCCTGACTCTGTCTGCCAGCTCATCTGTGTAGTCCTCAGACAGAAATGCAGAGGAAAACTTGGCCTCAAAGTCAGCCCAGGAGGTAGTGGTGAGACGTGCCACATCCCACCAGTCTCGAGCTGTCCCATGCAACACATTCCTCAATGTGGCAAGGAGTTCTTCGTCAGCCAGGGGATTGAGGGCAAGAAAGTCATGACATCTTTCCAGATACATTAGCGGATCAGGACTGTCATCCTTTTTCCCAAAGGTGGGAAATTGCAATTTAATGGGCATCGCTCCCACATGACGTCTACTCAAATCACCATGAACAAAAGAGCTAGGAGGGATTGAGGAAGTAGAGGGTGAGGGAGTTATGGGACCATGAAAATGAACACCAGGATGCATGGTGGATTGCATCCTGCAAGGGGTGGCTGCAGCATGGCCTTGTCTTGGCTGTTCTGAGGTGCCCGCTTGGCCCTCAGTGGTCTGAACAGAAGTGGACACAAGAGAAGCTCTGTGCAAGGAGTTGTGCCTAATGGAGGCCATGTCAACAGACACATCATCCAACATTTTAACACAATTAGAGAGCGCTGTCTGCAAGTGGTCTACAGTGTTAACCAGGGGAGAAAATACAGAATTGACGTCCTTGAGGACCTCAGTGTGATGATGTTGCAGGCGCCACTGGAGAGTGGCAGTGAGTTGGCTTTGTTGGTAGTCAAACTGCCTGTCCATGGCACCAGTAATTTCCTGTCTTCCACTCTCACTGAGCTCTGTCAGAGTGTGAGTTAGAGTACTCAGTGAGTTTCTGAATTCCATGGCACTCTGTTGTTGCTCTACACTCAGACATTTGAATTTATGATGGATTAGAGTTTGGAGATGTTGTTGAGTCTTACGAATATCAAGGATGTCACCTTGAAGTTGTAAGACTACAACCTCTGGAGATAAACCAGACAATGGAGGAAGATTGGGCGTCAGAGGGAGGGCTAGCTCAGTACCTTCACACAGATCCATGTCAATAAGTGAGTTACTAGTTAGACCTGTGGCCTGTGGTCCAGACCGAGCATTTAGATTCCCAGGGCTCTGGCCCACATCAACTCCATTATTTCCATTCACATTATGATTTGTATTGTTGGCTCGGTAGTCAGAATGGCCCTGTGTATTCCCATTGACAGGTAGGATATGGATGAGCACATTTTCTTGTAGTGAATCCATTATTTTAATTCCACTCAAAAGATTTGCTTTGGTTAGTTCTCAATGTTGAGGTCCCATCTGGGGTGCCATTTTTTTATGTAACGGTTTTGACTTGAGGTATTATTAGGGGTGCCAGGTAGGTTGTGCCTACCAGAGAAAGCATGGGTTTCTCCTTTTAGTTCGGGAGGGAATAAGTCCCATCTGGTCCGTCAAGTCACACCAATACAAAGGACTTATGTAAAAGTCAAGATGGAAATATACTTTTCATAAACCCCTAAAACCTTGGAAAGAACTTCAAACAAGTGTATTCTTTTGCTTGGTTGTATTCACAACATAAATGATCACACCCACCCACACACAACAATATAACAAATCAATGCACTTATGTTCATTTAGAAATGTCCTGTACCTCGGGCATAAAAAGAGTCCAGCCCGGTAAATAAGTTCCGTGGCTCAAGTGCCCTTAGTCCCGCAACGCTTGTCCGTAGCATAAACCCAGTATATTCATACACTCAAAATAACACTTATTTTGTAACACAACTATAAAGCGTATCAAAGACTACCCAAAGAATAATACGTCCTCACAACTACATAAATCACAGTATACATCACCCCAAACAAATGAAATACCGTATACAAAAAGTTGTAGTCAGTCGGTCAGTCAGACAATCCGCCAACAGCCCTCCAGCGGAGGAAAGGCCACGAAAACCAACGGAGAGTTGTAGTCCACAGACGCACAGAGTGGATCCAATCCTGGGTAAACTCGCTTTAAGGCCACAAAACACACTGTAAGGCAACAAAACAAACGTAATGGCGAAGCTTCATGAACTGAAGGTAGTCCACATCCTCATTCAGGTCTCAATCGCAACTTCTCTTTTGCGCAGCTGATGCTGGCTATTTAATGGGGAATTAAAGGGGAAGCGCCCTATTAGAAGGAGAAGCCTTGAGACGGTTCAGAAATATTCAGGGCCGTCACAACACACACACACACACACGCACGTGCTCAAGCACAAGTGTGTGCACATGCACAAGCGCACGCACACACACAAGTGCACACACACACAAGCACACACATGCCAGGAAATGTATTTGAATTCTTTGTGCTACTTCTACTGTCTATCGGATCTCAGCATCTCCTCTTATGGATCATAAATAAGTGTAATATGGTGCTAATGTAACCGTTTCCTGCAGCGCACACTGTTCCATCAGTTCATAGGAGCCTCCTGCATCTGAAATGCCTTTGAAGCTTTGCATAGAGTAGTGAGCATTGCAGAATTAAAATATGTCACTTTTAACCATTATGCAAGCACATACCTTATTCTTACAGTAGTAACCCCCCACCCCCATTCCTCTCTCCTTTGTGCCATGAAATACTGCAGTAGATCTTGTACACTCGATTCTATTTGTCACAACGGTGGCATCACTTTTATTGCTTTTCATTGTTGGGGTAGTTTCAAAATGCCTGGCAGAGAATAACAGCCACTATGTTCAAAAAGAGAACAGTATAATATGTTTTCATAAAAGGAAAATCCTTTTCCCACACATCAAAGAATTTGCATATGCAGCAATGCTGCAGAATGTGGTGTCAAAATACAGTACATTACAACAGTGATCTCAGTAGACAGTTCAGCAGCATTAAACCTACACTATGATCCCACTGTCCAACAATGTCAATAACTAGTACTTCTACAAATTATAAGTTTGAGTGACCAGTAATTGTAATGATGAGGAAATGAAAGAGTGTTATTTAGACTATATCTAATCAGTGTATTTTATTCTAACAAGTCCTTTCTCTGTATCTCGTGTCTCCATAGGTAACCGATAGGATGGGGGCTAGGGAAGCGAGTGGAAACAGCTACCTGGTTGCGTGCTGGCAGCCCATTCTGATTCTGATCCTGGCCACTGTACTGTCTGGTTCCAGCACAAGCTGCCCATCCCGCTGCGAGTGCAACACCCAGGAGCGCTCAGTCATGTGCCAACGCAAGAAGCTTATGTCTGTCCCCGAGGGCATCCCCACAGAAACGCGGCTGCTTGACCTCAGCAAGAACCGCATCAAGACAATCAACACGGATGAGTTTACCGCCTACCCCAACCTGGAGGAGCTGGAACTCAACGAGAACACCATATCGGCTGTCGAGCCCGGCGCCTTCAACAACCTGTACGGCCTGCAGACATTGGGGCTGCGCAGCAACAAGCTCAAACTCATCCAGCTGGGCGTGTTCCTGGGCCTCAGCAACCTCACCCAGCTGGACATCAGTGAGAACAAGATAGTCATCCTGCTGGACTACATGTTCCAGGACCTGTACAACCTGCGCTCACTGGAGGTGGGTGACAACGACCTCGTGTTCATCTCCCACCGGGCCTTCCATGGCCTCAGCAGCCTGGAGCAGCTGACGTTGGAGAAGTGCAACCTGACCTCGGTGCCCACTGAGGCCTTCACTCACCTCCACAGTCTGATCTTTCTCAGGCTGCGCCACCTCAACATCATTATTATTAAGGACTTCTCCTTTAAAAGGCTCTACCGGCTTAAAGTGCTAGAGATCGCTTACTGGCCCTACCTGGACAGCATGACTTCCAATTGCCTCTATGGACTGAACCTCACCTCGCTGACCATCACCAATGGCAACCTGACCTCCATCCCCTACGTGGCTCTCCGGCACTTGGTCTACCTACGGTTTCTGAATCTGTCCTATAACCCCATCCACACCATTGAGGGGAATAAGCTCCATGACCTTCTGAGGCTCCAGGAGTTTCACATGGTCGGGGGCAGGCTGGCTATGATCGAGCCCTACTCCTTCCGAGGCTTAAACTATCTGAAGATCCTGAATGTATCTGGAAATGCTTTGAGCACCTTGGAGGAGTCTGCGTTCCACTCGGTAGGCAACCTGGAGACTCTGGCGCTTTACGACAACCCCTTGGCCTGTGACTGTCGGCTGCTGTGGGTGTTCCGGAGACGCTGGAGGCTCAACTTCAACCGGCAGCAACCCATCTGCGCTTCACCTGAGTTTGTACAGGGAAAAGAGTTCAAAGATTTCCCGGACGTCCTGCAGCCCAACTACTTCACGTGTCGCAAGTCCAGGATCCGGGACCGCAAGGCGCAGCAGAAACTTGTGGACGAGGGAACTACAGTTAATTTTGGTTGCCAGGCAGACGGTGATCCTGCCCCAGTCATCATGTGGCTCTCCCCGCAGAAGCAGTTCATCATGACCAAAACCATCGGGCGGCTCACAGTATTCCCCGATGGCACCCTCGAGGTGCGGTATGCTCAGATCCAGGATAACGGCACGTATGTGTGCATAGCCAGCAACGCTGGTGGCAACGACACATCTCTCGCCCACCTGCATGTCCACAGCTACTCTCCAGACTGGCCCCACCAACCCAACAAGACCTTTGCCTTCATCTCCAACCAGCCCAATGAGAATGATGACAATGGGACGCAAACCAACGTCCCCTTCCCCTTCGACATAAAGACCTTAATCATCGCCACCACCATGGGCTTCATATCTTTCCTTGGTGTTGTCCTGTTTTGTCTGGTGCTACTCTTTCTGTGGAGCAGAGGTAAAGGGGCCACAAAGCACAACATAGAGATAGAGTACGTGCCACGCAAGTCAGACGCTGGAGTGAGCAACAGTGCTGCAGAGACCCCTCGCAAGTTTAACATGAAAATGATTTAACGGGACCCAGGGAGCAAACAGACTGAACTTGAAATTATACAAAAAAATATATACAGTATACTATATATATATATATATATATATATATATATATATATATATATATATATGTATATATATATATGTATATACAGTGCCTTCGGAAAGTATTTAGACCCCTTGACCTTTTCCATATTGTCTTACGTTACAGCCTTATTCTAAAATGGATTAAATAAATAACAATCCTCAGCAATCTACACACAATACCCCATTATGACAAAGCAAAAACAGGTTTTTAGAAATTTTTGCAAATGTATATATATTTTTTAAATAAAATATCTTATTTACATAAGTATTCAGACCCTTTGCTATGAGACTTGAAATTGAGCTCAGGTGCATCCTATTTACAGTTGACAGTGCAGGTCAGAGCAAAAACCAAGCCATGAAGTCAAAGGAATTGTCCATAGAGCTCTGAGACAGGTTTGTATTGAGGCACAGATCTGGGGAAGGGTACCACATTTATTTTGCAGCATTGAAGGTCCTCAAGATCACAGTGGCCTCCATCATTTTTAGTTTTAATAAATTTGCAAAAGATTCTAAAATCCTGTTTTTCCTTTGTCATTATGGGGTATTGTGTGTGGATTGATGATGAAAAAAACAACAATTTAATCAATTTTAGAATAAGGCTGTAACCTAGCAAAATTTGGAAAAAGTCAAGGGGTCTGAATACTTTCCGAATGCACTGTATATCCTCTCCTACAAACCTGTAGATCCTGGGATGTTATCATAGAGTAATCTGTTTTTTTGTGACTTGAGTGTTGGAAATGGAGAGAGAAGTTCCTTGCTTTCATAATTTGTTGAGTATATGAGGGGGATGATAGCACAGCAGACGCTCCACAGCATTGGCAATTTCTGCAAGGCCGTCAGGGACTGTTTGTTCAAAAGCAAATTGTGTTGTGAGCGATTCATGTTCCTGTCGATTTATATTTTGGAAAAAATATTTAAAAAAATATATGAACCCTTCTATATGTTTGTAATAACAGCCAGAATGCAAAAAGCAGACCATCCTTTTGCCTTTGCTGTCCTTTAGCCTGTATTTTTTACAGAAATTGAAATATTTGTTCACAAAAATGTTAATGAGCACATTTGAACAATCCCTTATGTAACTTTGTCCCTTATGTACACTTAGGTTGGAGTCATTAAAACTAGTTTTTCAAACACTCCACAAATGTCTTGTTAACAAACTATAGTTTTGGCAAGTCGGTTAGGACATCTACGTTGTGCATGACAAAACAGATTTTTCCAACAATTGTTTACAGACACATTATTTCACTTATAATTCATTGTATCACATTTCAAGTGGGTCAGATGTTTACATACACTAAGTTGACTGTGCCTTTAAATAGTTTGGAAAAACTCCAGAAAATGATGTCATGGCTTTAGAAGCTTCTGATAGGCTAATTGACATCATTAGAGTCATTTGGAGGTGTACCTGTGGATGTAATTCAAGGCCTACCTTCAAACTCAGTGCCCCTGTGCTTGACATCATGGGAAAATCAAAAGAAGCCAAGCCCTCAGAAAAAAATAATTGTAGACCTCCACAAGTCTGGTTCATCCTTGGGAGCAATTTCCAAACGCCTGAAGGTACCACGTTCATCTGTACAAACAATAGTACGCATGTATAAACACCATGGGACCACGCAGCCATCATACCGCTCAGGAAGGAGATGCATTCTGTCTCCTAGAGATGAACAAACTTTGGTGCGAAAAGTGCAAATCAATCCCAGAAAAACAGCAAAGGACCTTGCGAAGATGCTGGAGGAAACAGGTACAAAAGTATCTATATCCACAGTAAAGAGAGTCCTATATCGACATATCCTGAAAGGCCGCTCAGCAAGGAAGAAGCCACTGCTCCAAAACAACCATAAAAAAGCCAGACTACGGTTTGCAACTGCACATGAGGACAAAGATCGTACCTTTTGGAGAAATGTCCTCTGGTCTGATGAAACAAAAATAGAACTGTTTGCCATAATGACAATCGTTATGTTTGGAGGAAAAAGGGGGTAGCTTGCAAGCAGAAGAACACCATCCCAACCGTGAAGCACGAGGGTGGCAGCATCATGCTGTGGGGGTGCTTTGCTGCAGGAGGGACTGGTGCACTTCACAAAATAGATGGCATCATGAGGAAGGGAAAATATGTGGATATATTGAAGCAACATCTCAAGACATCAGTCAGGAAGTAAAAGCTTGGTCGCAAATGGGTCTTCGAAATGGACAATGACCCCAAGCGTACTTCCAAAGTTGTTGCAAAATGGCTTAAGGACAACAAAGTCAAGGTATTGAAGTGGCCATCACAAAGCCCTGACCTCAATCCTATAGAAAATGTGTGGGCAGAACTGAAAAAGCGTGTGCGAGCAAGGAGGCCTACAAACCTGACTCTGTTACACCAGCTCTGTCAGGAGGAATGGGCCAAAATTCACCCATCTTATTGTGGGAAGCTTGTGGAAGGCTACCTGAAACATTTGACCCAAGTTAAACAATTTAATGGCAATGCTACCAAATACTAATTGAGTGTATGTAAACTTCTGACTCACTGGGAATGTGATGAAAGAAATAAAAGCTGAAATAAATAATTCTCTTTAATATTATTATGACATTTCACATTCTTAAAATAAAGTGGTGATACTAACTGACCTAAAACAGGGAATTGTTATTATGATTAAATGTCAGGAATTGTGAAAAACTGAGTTTAAATGTATTTGGCTAAGGTGTATGTAAACTTCCGACTTCAACTGTATATGTACTACATTTTGTATCTCATCCATATTATTCACTACACTTTACATTAAGTTGCTTTTATATCTGTGGAGTGCAATGTAATTACTCTAGGATTTTTAATTTGTTTTAAATTTTTAATTAATTACATTTACTCTAGTGTTACTCTACTAAAACCATGTTGTTACATAATACTTTAGTAATTGCATTGTAATGATATAATAATTGTGTTACTGTTTCTTAGTCCTCTTGTGTCATAACAAAGAATGCTCAACTCCATTACTATGCATTTTCAAAGCAATGACTACTTTTTATAATGCTATGGAACAACATTTTACTGATGTTGTTACTAGAGTAATTAATGCATTACTACAAGAGCAACTTAATCTAAAGTGTTACCAAGGGGGATAAAAAATATACATAATTTTGTTGGCATAGTTTGATTGTGTGTAAGGGTAGCTGAAAGTCATTTGCTCCATAGCAGCCTTTGTTTGTAACATGATACTTCTCAAAACCCCTCTCAATTAATTTCATTCATTAATCCAGATTAGATCTCATTATCTCTATTTGCTTGTGGTAGACACTGTGGTTAGCAATGTTTATTGGCCATTAGACATTGTATTATTGTATCATATTATTATGTCAAATATAATGATCATACTGTATAATTGTATCATATTATATCATAATATTGGCCCTTAAGATCTATTCCTTTTTGTTTCTCTCAGGGAGCTAAATCAACCTAATTGAAAATGTGGCATTATATAAACATACGCAAAATATTAACAATGACATAAATAATAGTGTTATAATTACAACATTCTATAATTGAACTGGACAATGTTATGGAAAAAGTATTGATTGTTGAAACTGTTTACAGTTAAATTCTCATCTGTTTCTGAAGTAACTAAATATTTAATAGCAGGAAGTGGTGTACTAGTTGAAAGATTTGCGCATATAATTTAAATAACCATAACCATACATTACACACACACGCTAGAAATGTTTGTATGCTACTGTGGATTATACTCCCTATATGACAACAACTGATGGTATATCCATTGCATATTCTTGCATGAAAATCTTGCTATCTGTTTGTCTGTTGCCTTTTGAATTATGTTACAGTGGACTCCAAAGAGTCTTACATAATGGGCTTACGTTCTGGTTAACATGTTTGTGGAGGATAAAAGTTAGGATACTCTACTTTATGGCTAATGTGATCAACAACCTGTAAAACACGTATGTTAATCCCATGTTAGTGAGCTTTGGCTGTCAGAATTATGGTTTTGTTTGAATTTACAGTTATTTACTCGACCCTCCCCAACCCCACCCATGCAAAAATTCCCTTCCAGGTTTAATTGTGTGAAGGGTGTGAAGATAAAACAACAACAACAACAGAATATGTTCCTGCTGATCCTCCCGCATATACAATATACGTAATGCCCTTGCCTTTTCAACTACACACTGTGGACATCTGGGCTTTGCGGATATGTGAAGGACAAAGGCTAAGTTATTTATGATGGATGACATTCCAGACAGGAATGTCATCCACTTGTTCTCAGCCAAATGGATTAGTCCAAAGCTGCCTCAGACCACTTCATGGGTGAAACCATCTGTGTTGCTACACCTTCTGCATATTAAGTCCATACTTCCAACCAACCAATGGTTGGAAGTATGGACTGAATATGCAGATGGTGTAGCAACACAGATGGTTTCACCCATGAAGTGGTCTGCGGCAGCTTTGGAGTAATCCATTTGGCTGAGAACAAGTGGATAATATGGCTAATGCTTCTCTCTCCGGCTGATTACAAATTAATTTAAAATGAAAAGCTGAAATGTCTTGAGTCAATAAGAATTCAACCCTTTTGTTATGGCAAGCCTAAATAAGTTCAGGAATAGACATGTGCTTAACAAGTCACATAATAGGTTGCATGGACTCACTCTGTGTGCAATAATAGTGTTAACATGATTTTTAAATGACTACCTCATCTCTGTACCTCACACATACAATTATCTCTAAGGTCCCTCAGTCGAGCACTGAATTTCAAGCACAGATTCAACCACAAAGACCCGGCAAAGAAGGGCACCTATTGGTCGATGGGTAAAAAGCAGACATTGAATATACCTTTGAGCATGGTGCAGTTATTAATTACACTTTGGATAGTGTATCAATACACCCAATCACTACAAAAATACAGGCACCCTTCCTAACTTAGTTGCCGGAGAGGTAGGAAACCAATCAGGGT